CCAGCCAGGAGCAGCAGCCGAGTCTCCCGAGGAATGGGAAGGACCAGCAGCGCTCCAGTTCACGGCACTTCCCACACATCACGCACTGCGCAGCACCGACTCGCCCACACACAGCCCCGAAGGGCTCGCTAAGGGGTGACACTGGGGCCAGGGAGGATAGGCAATCGGCCCCAGTTGGAGAGCCATCACCACCGTTAAAATCACCACTAAAATCTCAACGAAGAGTTCAGGGGAAGGTGACGAAAAGCCGCAGCCTGGCAGACAGGCCAGAAGCAGCGCTGAGGACCAGACGAGGAGAAGGGGCGGGAAGCACAGAAGAGGAGAAAGGAGCGTCTGTGCAGGGCGGAAAAGCAACCGGGCCAAGGGTGCCACGCATCGTAAAAGTGCCTTTCAGGAAAGGGAGGGAAGCCAGTTACAAGCAAAAACTAGGTTTTTCACCAAAGAAAATGAGTTTTCCAACCTAAAAGATGACCCGGAGGCAAAAACAAGGATCCCAGCGGAAGGTCTGAAATGCCAGACGCAGTAAGAACAGAGCAGCAAACGTGCGTGAATCCACACACGCTGCGGCTGAACAAGGTCACTCTCCGGGTGGCTGCACAGCAGGAGCCGCACACAACACACGGCACCTCAGCCGGCAGGGGCGACCCGGGGTGCGGCTGAGGGCTCTGTATCGGTCAGGGGACAGCAAATACGATTCACTTCGGACGGAACCTGCTAAGTCTGCGTATTAAAACGTCTGCGGCAACTCCTAAGAGAACAGAAATACACTACATATTTTCCAAGTCAGTAGAGAATAAACAATTGAATTCTAAAACATTATCTTTAGTAAGTCAGAAATAAGGCAAACAGAGAAAAAGAAACAAGTAGGACAAATAAAAGCACAAAAGCAATGGTTAAAAAATAAGCACATATGTATGTGCAGACGTGCAGAAGTCTGTAACTAGAAACTATGTAGTATGTTCCCATCGAAAGGCCCAGACCTGTAGGTTTCACTTTTTAAGAGTCCAGCTACATGCTGTAGATGACACACCTATCTTAAATATAAACATTTAGAAAAATGTAAAGATAAAGAATGGAAAAAAAAATTAGGCAGGTGTTCTTTAAAAGAAAGCTAAAGCCGCCACACTAGTGTCAGAACAAAGGCGAATGGCTTTCATTCTTTCCAGAACACCGCTGGGTCCCCACACAGTGACAAAGTTCTGATGCACAGGAAGAGGCAGCGATTCTAAACTTGTGCTCACTACTGACCTGGCCGAAAGAATCCAGAGCAAACGTTCACAGGGACCCAGCATAAAGGAGTAGTGGCCAGCCGGCAGCACCACGCCTTGCACTCAGGACCCAGGCCAAGTGCGCCCACCGAAGTCCACCTACCTGAGGGCCAGTCTACGTGAGTGAGCAGAGGAAGGAGACACAGAGGATATATGGAAATCGTAGGTTCTTCATGATACTTGAAAAACCGAAGGCCAACACAAACCTAAAAAGAAAACCGGTTCCGTCCTCTGATGACGGGAAGTTAGAGGGAAGATCAAGCACCTCGCCTGCCCTTCCTTCCTTGGGGCATCTCTGCACAACCAGGCAGCACCAGCTGGTGGGAAAGCTTGTCTCTACGGACAGTCCCGGTTAAATGCGGAACAAATGATTAAATTCAAAAGCTGCCCTCTGCCACCCCTTATGAAGCCACTGATTCAGCCACAACTATCAAGGAAGTGAAGGGTGACTAGCAGGGCAGAACGGCCCCCAAGGGAGAAGCCATGAACAGGCAGGGCTAGGCTGCCTCCACCGGGACCTGCTGGTCACTGGCATCTGCATCAGCAGGACAAGGAGTCGGGATCAGCCTGGACTCACCTGGCATCGACACACCCACGAGGGAGGACTGCCGAAAATGCTGCCCTGCCCCTGTCCCTGTCCCGGGCTGTGCCTCCCGGCTGGCAGGCACCACTGTGGTTTCAGGCAGTCTCCTGAAAGGCCCCCGAGCTCTCACATGGAAGGCAGGGCCCACACATTACTCCATGTAGGGACCGGGTATGGTGGAATGGGTAGAAAGAGTAATGCCAAATACTGGCATTTTTCAAAAGTGATACAAACACAGCATAGGGTTGTGGCATCCCTTCATGGCTATTCTAGGAAAAACGCTATCCTGAAGATACAAACACTGCATCTCCTGAAAGTGAGAATCACATCAGCTCTGGAGGGAAAAATCGAAAATTTCTTTCAGAACAATCCAGCTGGTTTTACCCTGCCTTCTCCACACCCCACTCCCAGGCCCCCGTGAGAGGGCCCTCTGCTCCTTCACAGCCCACAGACTTGTTGTCACCCTCAGCACTAGTGGGAGGCAACGGCCAGCCCACAGTCACAGCTGCCCCAAGCCGCAGTCCAGACCCAGGACCCTGGGCCAGCTCAGCCCTGCCAGGGGCGGACACTCAGCGGCACTGCCTGCCAGGCCTAGCGCTTACCCAACAGCACCTCTGTCAGCACTGGCCATGTCACGGCTGCTTGGGGCTTGAAAGCCCAGCACCCTGTTGATCCTGTACCACCACGGCTCCACGAGGCCACAGAAAAGGAGTGACAAAACAAGCGTCACGTCAGCACACTCTGAGAAAGTGACAGCTGCACTCCACTCCAGTACCTGGTCAGCAGTCTCTCCGAGTACAAGCTGATCCACAGGGAAGCAGGCCAGGGAAGGAGGGTACTGTACAGGGCGTGCGCCAGGCAACACATTGCAGGCAGGGTGTGCGGACCAGATCGCCACCAGGGCCAAGTCCAGCCCTCTGCATGCAGCCCAGGGCACCCAACCTCCCTCCTCTCCCCTCCATCTTCGGACCCTGCCTGCTTCTGCTTTCAACATGTCCCCTTCCCTGCCTCCCCCACCTCTGTTCCTCCTTCAGGTTCAGGTTAGGTATTACTCCCTCACCCTGCGTCCAGCCCAGGTCACGCCACCCATGACAAACTGTCTCAGCACCTAACACTGGGTTAAGACCACAGATCTGATGGCGACTGTCACCACATGGTGTACCTGTGCTGTCCTGCTTCCTCTGCTATCCTACAAGATCCCGATGGCAGGAACTAGCCTATACAGGGCTATAGCAATTAGCCTATATAGGGCTATAGCAACTAGCCTATATAGGGCTATAGGAACTAGCCCTAAATATCGTGGTCAGTAATGCTGGCTGAAAAAGTCACAGGTACTCCAAAAGGTACTTGGGCCCTGGTCACTGACAACACCTTCTTGGAGCCCCTGACAGCCCTGATCCAGAGCCAGTGTGGCTGCTTGTTTACAGGTCCACGGGGCTCCCCTAAAACACTTGTCCACACATGCCGTAACGTCCGGCTAAGGTATACCCAGAACACAGCCCACGAAACGCCACATGGAAAGTCTGACAAATGTCAGTACACTACACCACAGACCCTACATGCTTGAACATTATCTGACATGCCCAATCACCCATGGCAGTGTAAACTGCACGTTGTCATGGTGTCGGGTGACCGTTTCGCTCAGTGACAGGAAGACCTAACTGGTACTGTCTGCTCAGCTTGTGCTCGACATCACAGGAATTCAAACTCAGTCCCACAGCCTGGTCAGGTTCCAGATGAGGGTGGGTTCCCAGGAGGTGGAGGACACCTCCCAGATCACATGAGGAGGAAGAGGCCATCTGCCTGGCCGCTGTGCCACTGCTCTCCAAAAGGGGACAAAGATGGGAGCCTGTGGGATCCCCTGCATCTAATCTCGGTCAGCCAGTTGGGTGGAAGAGAGAAAGTGCTGACACTATCCAGCTGCTGTAGTTCATGCTGCTGGACTAAAGGTGGAGCCGCAACCACCAGCACGAAGCGGCCAAGTCTCCACACTTCGGTGTGACCAGACATGAGTCTGGTGAGCCTCAGAAAAACTATCTGTGCACAACGGGGCTTCTAACAAAACATGGGGTGCATTTTAATCTCAGAAAAATCGTTTTATGCCAAGAATTCTCCTCTCATCAGGAAAAACACCACCAAGACTTGTCAATATGCGGTTTTAAGGGTGAGGAAAGCCCCTGTAACCATGGTACTTCAACCATGTTCAGGAATGGACTTCCCGACTAAAGGGACACAGCAGTATCATGTCACCTACGGCTCGTTGTGAACCGCTGTTGATAACATCGTGAACCACTTCACTACAGTGACAATCTGCCCCAGCCCAGTCTCAGCGAGCAAGTAGGCCACTCAGGCCAGGAGCCGGTCCAGAGTCAGTCTACACCAGCTCTCCTGCACAGTGACGCTACAGAAGTGTGAGAGGCAACACTCAGAAGGAGAAACTCGAAGATGGTAGGACTCTTTCAAGTTCTTGGCTGCTATCCTCTCATTTGCAAATGAAGAAACTGAGGCTCTGAACAGTGGCCACTAACCGGGGACACAGCTGGGCTCAAAAGCTGATCATTATTGCCCTGGCTCTGTGTGAGAAAGAGGGAACTGCCTCCTTATATGGGATGGACTAGGATGTGGGGCCTCCTCCATCAGGGGATCCTCCTCCACTTGGCGGACTCACCAGGGCCCAGAGGACCCTCCTCCACCTGGCGGACTCACCCGGGCCGAAGGGGATCCTCCTGCACCTGGGGGCCCACTCGGGGCGCAGGAGACCCCCCCTTCCATCCAGGGGGCCCACCCGGGGCGCAGGGGATCCTCCGCCACCTGGAGGACTCACCCGGGGCCCAGAGGATCCGCCTCCACCTGGGGGCCCACCCAGGACGCAGGGGGCCTCCTCCATCCAGGGGTCTTTAAGGTGTGCGCTCCTCCATCTGGGGGCCCACCCGGGGCCTGGGCCCTGTCTCTCAGGACGGCCTCCCCCCCGCTCTGCCCCGAGGCGGGAGGGAGCCCGAGCCTGGCCCAGCGCCGCTCACGTCCGCCAGGCCCGCCACCCCAGCGCTAGCCGCCGCGGCCGCGGGAAGGAGCCGGCCCGAGGCCCCGCCTGCCGCCGCCGTCGCCGCCACAGGTCGCCGCCCCCGCCCGACCTCGCCCGGAGGGCTCACCGGACCGCGCTGAGTGCTGACAGTGGTCGCCATGGTGCTGCGGCCGCCCCCGCGCCCCGCCGACCCGAGAGAGGCCAGACGAGCCCTCACGCCCCGCGGGAGCCTGCGACGCCAACGGTCGTCACCGCGAGGCCGCCGCCGCCACAGTCAGCTGACGGCCACCGCGCTCCGCCCCCGACTCCGCCCACTGCGCAGGCGCCACGCCCGGCACCGCCCCTTCCGGTTCCCTCGCGCACGCGTGCTGCTGGCTCGGGCAGGGCCCCGCCCCCGAGAGGGCGCCTGCGCAGTCGCTCTCTGGTGGAGCCCGGCGGCCCCGCGAAATGGCTCCCGCCGTGGGCGTCTGCGCATGCCCAAGCTCAGCCACCCTGCGCCTGCGCTGTGGGGACGGTCCGGACTGGGCCCTGGGCTCGGTTCCGAGAGGCGCGGAGGTGCGAGTCAGGCCCTTTGTCTACCGTGAATCCTTCGGCGGGAGTGCGTCTGTGTTCATTTTGTTACATAGCAGTCAGGGTGCAGGGGCGAAGCGTGCGGGCTGGACGGGGTCGGGCTGCGAGTAGCCTGCCCGCCCCTCCCTCCTCCTCTCCCCTGTCCCTCCCACCTCCCCCTCTCCTCCTTCCCCTCCCCTCCTCTTCTCCTCCCCTCCTTACCTCTCCTCCCCTGTCCCTCCCAAGAGAGAGATGGCCTGCGAGTAGCCTGCCGCCCCTCCTCCTACCTCTCCCCTGTCCCTCCCCTCCCCTCTCCTCCTTCCCTCCCTCCTCTCTCCTCCTCCTTACCTCTCCTCCCTGTCTCCTACCACTCGTCCTCTCACTCCTTCCCCTCCCCTCTTTCTCCTCCCCTCCTTACCTCTCCTCCCTGTCCTCCCACCTCCCTCTCCTCCTCTCCACTCTCCTTCATCCTCCCTCCTTACCTCCTCTCTCCTGTCTCCATCCCCTCTTCCTCCCATCCTCCGTTCTCTCCTCCTCTTACCCTCCTCCCTGTCCCTCCACTCCCTCTCTCCTTCCCTCCTCCTCCTCGCCTCCTCCTTACCTCCCCCATCTCCACTCTCCTCTTCCCTCCCTCCTCCTCGCCTCCTCCTTACTCCCATCTCCACCTCCTCTCTCCTCCTTCCCCCTCTCTCTTCTCTCCTCCTTACTCCTTGCCCCTGTCCTCCCACCTCCCGTCTCCTCCTTCCCCTCCCTCCTCCGCTCCCTCCTACCTCCCTCTCACCTCCCCCTCTCTCCTTCCCCTCCCTGCCTCTCGCCTCCCTCTTACTCTCTCTTGTCTACCTCCTCCTCCTCCTCCCTCCTCTCTCCTCCGTCCCTGCCCACTTTCCTCCTATCCACTCTCCTCTTCCTCCCGTCTTTACCTCCTCTCTCCCTGCCCCCTCGCTCGCTGTCCCCTCACACCATAAACTGGTCCCTCCACCCTCTCTCCTCCTTCCCTCTCCTCTCTCCTCTCCTTACCCTACTCCTCCCTCCCTCCAATTCCTGTCCCTCCCCCTCTTCCTTCTCCTCCCTTCCAGTGCCTCCCCGCCAGCTCCGCCCCGACTCCTCCCCTCCCCACCCCGACACCTGTCCCCCACCCCCATTCCGTGGAGAAGCTGGCCGAGGTGGGTTCTCGGGTCGTTCTCTATCCTCATCCCCATCCGCTGCCCCAGAACTGACGGCCACTCCCGCTAGAGACTCTTTCTTCCCGGGGTCTCCAAGACCACGTCTTGGGGTCTGGGTTCCAGTCTCTCCTCCAGCTCAGTCCCCGGCACCGTGTCTGTCCACGCGCAGCGAGTGCGGTGCCGGTGCCCTGGGCCCCCTGCGCCCCGTGTCCGTGCTGGAGCGGTGAGGATCATGCGGTGCCCTGGGCCCCCCGCGCCCCGTGTCCGTCCAGGCACGGTGAGGACCGTGCGGTGCCCTGGGCCCCCTGCACCTCGTGTCCATCCAGGCACGGTGAGGACCGTGCGGTGCCCTGGGCCCCCTGCACCTCGTGTCCGTCCAGGCACGGTGAGGACCGTGCGGTGCCCTGGGCCCCCTGCACCTCGTGTCCTTCCAGGCACGGTGAGGACCGTGCGGTGCCCTGGGTCCCCTGTGCCTCGTGTCCATCCAGACGCGGTGAGGACCATTCGGGTGCCCTGGGTCCCCTGCGCCCCGTGTCCGTGCAGGAGCGGTGAGGACCGTGCAGTGCCCTGGGCCCCCTACGCCCCGTGTCCGTCCATGCAGGGCGAGCACGGTTGGGGTGCCCTAGGCCCCCTGTGCCCCGTGTCCCTCCAGGTGCTGTGAGGACCGTGCGGGTGCCCTGGGCCCCCTGCGCCCCGTGGCCGGCCACGCGTGGTGAGCCCGGTGCAGGTGCCCTGCGCCCCCTGCGTGGGCTGGCCCCGAGAGCTGTCCCGCAGGACCTTCAGCATGAACAGTCTCCTGCACTCGGGGTGCGTCTGGGGGCTGATCCATGCCCCTCACCCCCGGCTCACGTCCCCGCACAGTTCTCTCCTCCGGACGGTGAACCGGGCATGCCTTGCTTCTGAACAACCAAGAACGGTGAGGGTACGGCTGAGGACCCTGCGCCCCGCAGGGGTCCTGCCCTGAACTTGCTCTGGAGGAGCTAGATGCCACAAGCCCTCAGCTCAAGGGACGTTCTGCCCCCACCCAGACTGCGCACACTGCAGTGTCCTCTGACTTACCTGTTCCTGGAACGCCAGAAGAGGAGAGAAAGGGGCAAAATATTTGCAGAAACGACGGTGACAACTGCCCCAGTGAATGACAGAGCCACCTGCATTCGTAAAAGCCAGCAAAACCGTGGAACAGAGCACTTGGTACCCCCGAGATTACCCTGCTGGTGGCCAAAGAGAAAATCCCGGACGGGGCCAGAGGAAAGGGCACTTTACATGTGGAAGAATAGACCAGAACAACAGGCTTCAGGTTGGAAACGATGCATGACAAAGGTGACATCTTTAAAGTGCTGAAAGAAAAAAACTAGAATCCTGTGCCAACTGAAATATCCATCAGAATGATAAAGTGGGCCTGGCGCGGTGGCCTGTCATCCTAGCACTCTGGGAAGCCCAGGCGGGAGGATCGCTCAAGGTCAGGAGTTCAAGACCAGCCTGAGCAAGACCCCGTCTCTACTAAAAATAGAAAGAAATTAATTGGCCAACTGAAAATATATAGAAAAAATTAGCCAGGCATGGTGGCACACGCCTGTAGTCCCAGCTACACTCGGGAGGCTGAGGCAGGAGGATCACTTGAGCCCAGGAGTCTGAGGTTGCTGTGAGCTAGGCTGACGCCACGGCACTCACTCTAGCCTGGACAACACAGTGAGACTCTGTCTCCAAAAAAATATATAGTGACACAGATCAGAACGGTGGTCATCTGTGTGTTGGGGGAAGGGAGGGCAGATGGACTAGGGGACCAGGAGGGAACTCTGGGCCTGCAGGAGGATCGTAGGTCTGGATGGAGGGGTGGTTACACTAATGCGTAAGCTTCAAAAAAACACATTTGACTGTTGACTCAGGATCTGCTGTTTTGGGTGTATGTAAATCTTATCTCAACGAAAAGTTAATGACAAAACTAAAACATTTTCTATGTGTACAACAGGGTTAGTCTAAATTTAGGCTTTACAAATTTACAAGAAGAAATATCAAAACACTAGACAAAGGAAGAGACCGTTTAAATGATGTAATTTATCAAATTACCTGCATGGAAACACCCAAAAGACTCTACGGAGAAAGGACTAGAAATGGGGATTTCACAAGGGGACTCAAAATTCAATTGAGAGTTGTATCACCCAGGGTGTGACATGTTAAATGTCACTGTTACTACAGATGTCTTTTTTTTTCTTTTTTTGAGACCGAGTCTCACTCTGTTGCCCGGACTAGAGTGCTGTGGCATCAGCCTCGCTCACAGCAACCTCACACTCCTGGGCTCAAGTGATCCTCCTACCTCAGCCTCCCGAGTAGCTGGGACTACAGGCATGTACCACCACGCCCGGCTAGTTTTTTCTATATGTTTTTAGTTGGCCAATTAATTTCTCTCTATTTATAGTAGAGACGGGGTCTCACTTCTTGCTCAGGCTGGTTTTGAACTCCTAACCTTGAGCGATCCTCCCGCCTGGGCCTCTCAGAGTGCTAGGATCACAGGCGTGAGCCACCGCGCCCGGCCGCTATGGGTGTCTTCACAAATGGTTATCTGCAAGGGGACGGCAGCACTCACGGGACAGCCGGCCTGGCGAAGTGTCCAAGGACGGACACAGCAGGCACGTCCACCTCCCAGCCTGAGGGCATCACGAGGCAGCCCAGTGAGAGGCGGACGTCTGGCAAGAGCCTTAGCCAGGAGCACGACCACTGCCCAACTGGAGACCTGGCAAGCCAGGGAAAGAGACACCGGAACGTCCTGGTCTCCTGTGCCACCTCCGATCACCTGCCAGTGCCTTGTATCAGCCGATCCCGGTGAGGGACACGGAGAAGGAGCCCAGGCGGCGTGGTCTGCAGGAGGCAGCCTCCCCCCAACCCTCCCCTGGCGCCCCGGCCTGGAAAGGTGGTGGTGCCTCAGTCCTCTCTTCTGCGTGGCTGGCCGCCCCGAAATTTGGTGCCTTGCAACAACAAGCATTTACGTGATCACAGTTCTGGGCAGTTCTGGTCTGGTTTGGGCCGGGTTCATGTCCAATAGCCTCGCACATACGTCTTCAGTCAGTCTGGTAGATTAACTGGAGCCTGGCAGGTCCCGGAGAGCCTCACTTGAGTGCCTGGCCCTGGCCTGTGGCTGTGAGATCAGCGGGCCACGTGTGTCCCCTGACGTGGTAGCCACGCCCCGAGTCTCTCGAGATGCCACCAGGGTTCCAGAAGCAGCAGGAGGTCGAGCCCAGACATGTTTTCAGATGTCCCCTCCTGTCTCATCTGCTAATGTCACGTGGCCAGCGCAGGTCCCTGGCCAGCCCAGGTTCAAGGGGTGAGGAAATGGACCCACTCTTTAGAGGAGGGAAAATGGGGCGTGATTTTGCAATCGGGCACAGCTGCAGGGCGGATGTGGGCACAGGGGAGCAAATGGAAAAAAAAAAAAAAAAAACAGTTCACGCTTTGCCCCTCAGCATCCACTGTCCGTTTTCATTGTTTATTGATACCCTGTTTCCCCAAAAATAAGGCAGGGTCTTACAGTTATTTTTCCTCAAGAAGACACCCTAGGGCTTATTTTCAGCGGATGTGTTATTTTTTTTTTTTAAGTACAGTACAACAATCTACA